TCCCCAAGCCCACAGACACAACCCCCTATATGTCCTCAGCGTGGCCCAACGCGGCCCTCGACATGCCCTGCGATGCCCTGCGCGTATCCCTGCAACGCTTCTCGCGCGAACCCTGCGATGGCCCTGCAACGAGCCCGCGGCGAGCCTCAACTACCCTGCTCTCCGAGCCATCTCGACTCGCCCCGGAAGGCCACCGGAAGCAGCGCCGCGAGGACGAATCAACGCCACAACTCACAAAACACACATGGATCGACAACACGCACCCCATCAACTATCGAAGCCCCAAGGACGCGCGACGCACGATTGACGCCAGAAGGATCGACAAACGACCGCTCGGACAAAGAAGCCGCGGGAGCCGAGAGACAACGCCCGACGGTCGGCGCCCCGCATTCGAGTTGCTTTTTCAGGGCGGGCTAGCGGGCGTTCGCGAAGCGATGCCAATTTTTGTACTTGATGCAATACTTGACCGTGCCACCCGCTACCCTGATAGAAGCATCAGCAGCGATTGCAGCCGCCCGCCCCGCTGCAACGGGATGGGGTGGCGGCGGAGGAGCGGCCTCACCTGGCGGCGGAGGGTCGGGCGGCGGCGGCGGCTCGGGCCCAGCTGGCAAGCCGCCTGCGCCTCCAGCGACATCATCTGGCTGCTCGGCACCTCCGCCGCCTGGCCCGCCCAGTCGATCGCCGCCAGCTGGTGCATCGAGGATTTCGGGCACCTCCCCTCCCGAGCGAAAGCGGCATAGTACCTGGTGCATCTGACGAAGCTGATGGAATTGCCATGTTAGCGCGCAGCTTCTATTCGCGCAATGTACTTGCACCGGGGGTTGGCGTCAGTTTAATCCGCGGCATTTTGCTCATCTGCTTCCACAGCTCCAAAAGATAGGTCACGGGCCCCTGGTCGTCCTCGTCGTCGCCTCCTCCGCCGTTGCACCCCCCCGGGGCGCCCGCCCACGCCGCCGCCGCCTCCCCCAACTGAACCGTCGGAGGGATTTGGCGGGCCGTAATGGTCTTGCGACGCAGTGGGCGATTTGACTGAGGATTCTTCAGGCGGTTTGAGGAACTCTGGGAATATCGGGATCGCATTGAACGGTTTCCCGTCTGCTCTGACTGCATGTGTTCTAATCGCACCGAGTCAGATGGTTTAGCTACGTTTTCAATTGAATCATCGCCATTGGCCTCCTCCCATGCTTCGCGTTCCTTACGCGTGGTCAACAGGATCTCTTTTTGTTCATTGAAGAAAGTTGCCGTGCGCCCGTGCTCTTCCCACTGTTGCGAACGCCAGCGTTATGGTTCTTCTTGGCGCCTCCTCAAAGTTCGCCTCAGCCTCGGCTGTGCTTCGTGCGCAGTGTCTGCGGCGTCTTGCTACAGGATCTAATGATCATTGCAACGTGGCGTAGAACATTGCATGCGCTCTGCCATCTTGGGATGACTGCAAAGATGGCGTTTCACCGGGTTGCCCGATGCCATCGCAACACGCAGCTGTGGTCGCGCTTCAGGAATGCGGTGAGAAGAGGTTCCTGGCACCTGAAGCTGAGCCGCAAACGCCGTTCCACCCGACCTACGCTCTCCCGAGGAAGACACACTCTTCTGCGTCTCTAGGGCGATCAGGGCCACGCTGGGATCAAGCTGGACTGCACTGCAGGGTTCTTGAAGCGTTAATCGGTCATCACTCGCTTCCTTCTGGCGCGTGAGATCCTCGCTGACCAGTTGCAGTACTGTTGTCACCTGTTCTGCACGATTGACAGCCTGCTGTTCCCCAGTGCTCATCTGATGCATCATCGATCTGACTTCTTCCCTCGCGCGCTGTATCATGGTCGCAGCCTGTGCACTCATTCAGCTGTGCCCGTCTGCCTGCTTGTTAAAGGACTCCCCCTCGTTGTGCATGTTCCAAATCTGTTCGCCCTCTTCAGCCATGATAGCCATGCACCTTTGCAGTCAGCCCCTCTCGCAATTCTCTCTCGTTTACTCGCCTGTCATATGTTCTTCCTTTTGTGTTCTTCATGTACAGACATACAGAGCATAGCCATTTACACATTGCAGTTTTTACAGGTCTGCGAGCATCCTGCACAAGCGGGCCTCTGAGACGATCCTTCTGGCATGTGTCTTTCCGGGACATTTATTCCCAGCAATGGGATAGCATCCCGGCGTTTTGGCCCAACATCCATACTTGACTGGTATGCCTGTTGAAAATGGCCCGCATGACCCTGCACTGCTCCTGGAATTGGGACGCAGTCTAGACGCGAAAGGTGCCCTTGACGGGGATACCCTTCCCCTTCCGCCGTTGCGGTGGAATAAACTTGGGGTCGGTCGTGGCCTGCGGTTCTGAATCTCAACAGAAGGTCGTACTCCTTTGAACTGAAAATCTGTATTTTCAAGGATCCCAGCCGGGGAGCTCCTATCCATTACTTCATTTTCGGGTGTCTTATGACGCTCGGCCCCGGAGTTTCCCAGGTGCAAGTTATTTCATCGTCTGCTTGAACATATGTTGGGCCCGCTTGCTTTTTCAATGGATCGGAAGCGAGGGGGTGAGATCGAAGTGGAACGGAGAGCCCCCCTACCGGGAAATCGATTTCGGTTTCGTGTTCGTGCGTGCCGTGCGCGCGGGCGAGGCGAAGCTGCGTGGGCGGGCGAGAGGAAAGTCTCCTGTGGCTGACGCGCGCGGCCGGACCAAATGTGTCTCTTCCGGGCGGCCGGTGGCGCGCGGTGTCCCGCCGGTGTCCCGCTGGTGTCCCGTCGGTGTCCCTGTGGCTGAGGCGCGGCCGGACCAAATGCGTCTCTTCCGGGCGGCCGCTGGCGCGCGGTGTCCCGCAGGTGTCCCGCCGGTGTCCCGCGGTGTCCCGCGGTGTCCCGCGGTGCCCCGCGGTGTCCCGCCGGTGTCCCGCGGTGTCCCGCGATGATGATGATGATGATGATGATGAGGATGATGGTGATGCTGATGATGCTGATTGTGATGATGACGATGATGATGTCGATGATGGTGATGCTGATGAAGATGATGAAGACGAATATGATGATGATGATGATGATGATGATATGATGATGATGGTGTCCCGATGATGATGATGATGGAGTCGATGATGATGATGATGACGATGATGATGCTGATGGTGTCCCGATGATGAGGGTGATGATGATCATGATGATTATGTTGATGATCATGATGATGACGATGCTGGTGTCCCGATGATGATGAGTATGATGATGTTGATGTTGATGATGCTGAATATGATTGTGTCCCGATGATAATGATGTTGATGATGGTGAGGTTGGTGAAGATTATGGCGTCCCGATGATGATGATTATTCTGATGGTGATGATGATGATGTTGATGATGATGGCGTCCCGATGGTGATGATGATGATGTTGATGCTGATGTTGGTAATGATGATGATGGTGCCCCGATGATGACGATAATGATGAAGATGATGATGCTGATGATGATGTTGATGATGCTGATGATGATGTTGTCGATGATCATGATGGTGTCCCGATGGTGATGATGATGATGATAACGATGGTGATCATGATGGTGTCCCAATGATGATGTTGCTGCGGATGATGATGATGACGGTGGCTGTGTCCCGATGCTGCTGATGATGATGTTGTTGATGATGATGATGATTGTGATGATGGTGATGATGATGATGGTGGTGTCCCGATGATGTTGGTGACCGTGATGATGATGATGTTTGTGTTGATGATGATGACGGTGTCCCGATTATAATGATGTTGGTGATGACGATGTTGAGGTTGATGTTGATGTTGGTGTTGATGATTATGATGATGACGTTGATTGTGATAGCGGTTGTGATATCGATAGTGAGATCGATAGTGAGACCGAATGTGATATCGATTGTGAGATCGATTGCGAGATCGATTGTGAGATCCAATTGTGATATAGATCGAGTGAGATCGATTGTGAGATCGATCGGGGGAAATCGATCGAGCGAGACCGATACTGAGATCGATAGTGAGATCGATAGTGAGACCGATCGAGTGAGACGTTGGTTCCTCCCCCCCGAACCTCCTTATCACCCGAAGGGTGGTCGTATAGGTAAAGTACAGCAAACTCGACGCGTAAATCTTACACCAGCGCAGGTAAATCCCATGACATGCCACCCCCCCTTGCACAGGCTGTACACACGTTGGATCCCTGTCCATGGTAGGAACAACAGGAGCGTCACGTAACGAGAAAACTCGAACATCAGGGATAATGCCAATCGAAATATCCACGACAGGCTCTCTGATGTGAGCACGAGTATCTTCCATCTGAACGATCGCATTGCTGGAACCGGCTGCAGTCGTCAACGCGTCTGGTCCATCACTAAGGATTTCGGCAATTTCGGCGGATTGCCAGTCGTCCGCCGGAGAGTCGCCACTCCGTGCGAATGTGGGGTATAATGTTGTCGATGTAGGATGGGTATGCAAGCCCATGATGGATTCGTTAAGCAGTGATATGGATATACAGGAATGATGGGGAAAGGGGTCAGAGAAGGAGCAAGAAACCAATGTACTCTCCTCTCACCGTTTCTCCCGCGCCCAAGCTGCGTGCGATCCTGGTTTGATCCTTTTTCAGATTGCTGCGGAGCGGCGGCGTCGGCAGCGGTCGGCGACATAGAGCGAGAAAGGAAAGAGCAATAACTACTAAGACCCCTAACTGCAAGCACTGTTTCGGAACGTGGTGGGGAGGAGATGGCGAGGAGAAAGAGGAGGACGAGGATGAGGAAGGACGCGTATGATGGTAATGAGGAAGAGGAGCAGGAGGAGGAGGAGGAGGAGCAAGAGCAACCATAAACCTCTCTCCACTTCCAACGCCAAACTGCACCTGCTGTCTTGCAGTAGGATTCCCTGTAAGACTTTGTAGAATAAACAGCCCCAACAAGTGTGGGTTGTCCACCCAGTTACCACAACCTGAGGCGTACGACGCGCGAACCTGGACGCGCACGCGCGAGCCACGAGGAGGAGCAACATGACGAGGAAAAAGGCGAGCAAGCGGGGCGGACCTTGTCGCTGTCAGATTCGCGTTAACCCTCACTGACGTGCAATTGGAGACCCGGTACGCTGTCCTCGGCGAACTCCCCCCGCATCTGCGCGTGACCCCGAGACAGCTGCCTGATCTGACGATCGGGATGGCTCCTCCGGCTGGTCCATTCCCCTGCTCTTCCACCTCCCTTCCGTCCTCCCTTCCTCCCTTTCGCCCTTCCGTCCTCCACCCCTCCACCCTCCTTCCCTCCTTTACTCCCTCCTGGCATACGTTCCTCCCTCCCTCCTTCTTTCCTTCCCCTCCGTCATTCGTCCCTCTCCCCTCACTCATGCTCCCACCCCCCGCCTCCTCCATCCTTCTCCGAATCCTCCTACAATTGCTGCTGCTGCTGCTTCTCCTCCTCCTCCTCCTTTTCCTCCCCCTCACCCCGCGTCATCTTCTCCTGCGCCTGCTGCACCTCCTCTCGCTCCGCCGCCACCTCATTAGTATCCTCCTCCTCATCCTTCCCCCTCCTTCTCCCCTCTGCCGCTTTCCCCCTCGTCATCCTTCTTCTCCTCTCCCTCGTCCTCTTTTCCTACTCCTCCTCTTCCTTCCTCCAGCCTCGCCCTCCTCATATCTCCTCATTTACCGCGTCTACCTCCTCCATCGTCATCGTCCTCCCCCTTCTGCTGCTCCTGCTCCTCTTCCTCCGAGCTCCGAGCTGATGGTATCTGTGTCTCCCCGACGCGGCCATTGCCCCACCCGGCTCCTCCTCCTGCTCCTCCTCCTCCCTCTGCTTCCTCGCCCCCGCACCCACCCAGCTCCGCCGTCCCTCCTCCTCCACTTTCTCCTCCTTCGCCTCCTCTTCCAGCCCGTTTCTTATACATGCACATGTATATATATACATATATATATATATATACATACAGCTCCTCCCTGTCTCACCCTCCAGACGTGTCGGTAGGACGGGATTGGCGCTTGGCCTGAGACGTTCTCACTTTGATCCTGACGCTTGAAAGCTGCAGCAACTACACGGATGGAGATATGGTTGTTTTCAAACTGTGGCTCTCGCCTTGGCTACGCGCGCATTCGTCTTCAAACATTGCAGCAGTTATGTACGCGGGTGGAGGGGGATCTTTTTCACTGTGACTCTCGCCTTAGCGCTGAGCACATTCGTCTCAACAAAATTCAACGGTTACGCGGATGGGGGGGGGTCGTTTTCGAAACGTGGCTCTCGCATCAGCGCCGCACACACTCGCCTTAACAATTTGCAGCAGTTTGCAGTGTGGATCGCGTGCCGATTTCAAAATGTGGCCTTCGCCCCAGCGCCGCGCACATTCGCCGTACGAGAATACGACAGATACGTGGATGAGGGAGTGGTTGTTTTCAGATTAGCGCCGCGGCCACTCGCCAGTCACAGGGAGGGCGGGTGTTTCCTTTTCTCAATTGGGTTCTCGCCCTGGCGCCACGCACGCTCGTCTCGAGTGTCTACAGCAAATGGCAAGGTGGGGGGCCGGCCCCTTCTCAAAGTGGGGGCTCTCGTCGGAGACTTCCGCGCGTCTGGAAGACCAGGAAGATGGACATATGCAGTGGCTGTGCGGACGGAGGTTCTCGCCTAAGACATCCTCGAAAATCATGGCGGGAAGTGTAGCCTTGTGCAACAAGTGCATACATTGAGCGATCCTTCTTTCCCATTTGGGCTTTGCCTGAGGGGTTCTCACTCATTTTGTGCAAGAGCTGGTTCGTGCGACGTTTCTCCCCCGAGGCGGGCACCGACCTGGACTGGCTCCTTAGACTTGGCTTCCTTTAGGCGTTGCACCTCTCCACGCTCCCCCGCGGCTGCGGTCCCTCCCCTGGAAAGCGCCGCAGCACTGGTGCAAGCGTGGGTAGCTCGCCAGGCCTGCAAAGCAGGCAAGCCGCAAGCATCAACTATATCTAACTGTACATACATATACATTTACATATACGCATTCATACACATATACATGTGCATAACTATATATACATGTATATCTAAAACTATACATCATGTGCATATGTGTATAGATATGTTTGCCTGTCTTTCTGTATGTCTGTATGCCAGCCTGTCTGTATGAATGTATGTATGTTTATGTGTGTATGTAAGTTTATGTGTGTGTATGCTTATATGTATACATATTTTATGTATGTGTGCATGCATGCATGTATATATATGCATGTATGTATGTATGTAGGTATATGTAGGTATATGTATGTATGCATGCATGCATGTATGTTTGCATGCATGTATGTATGTGCATATGCATGTATGTCTTCATGTATGTATGCATGTCTGTATGTATGTATGTATGTGCGTGTGTGTATGTATGTATGTATGTATGTATGTATGTATGTATGTATGTATGTATGTATGTATGTATGTATGTATGTATGTATATAGGTGTGCATGTATATAGGTATGTATGTATGGATGCATGTATGTATGTGTGTATGTATGTATGTATGTATGTTTGTATGTATGTATGTATGTATGTATGTATGTATGTATGTGTATATAGTTGTGTATATGTATACATGTATGTATGTATGCAGGTATGTATGCATGTGTGTATGTATGTATGTATGTATGTATACATGTATGTATGCATGCATGTATGTATGTGTATATAGTTGCATGTGTGTATATATGACTGTATGCATGTCTGAATATATGTATGTTTGTGTGCAGGCGTGTATGTATGTCTGTATGTGTGGATGTATGTCTGCCTGTATGTATGTGCGTACGTACGTACGTATGTGTGTACGACTCCTTGATGGAAAGACCATCGACGCGCGCATGCGCCCCCACCGCAGGCATCTGGGTTACTGTGTGCCGATCAGAGCAGCGTGTGTCGTAGCCTACTGTCGGGGGAGCGTAAGACCCGGGTTTGCCAGGACTCGGGTTCGCCATCGTTTTTTGACGACCGCGCCTCGGATTTTGACGAGGAGGAGTTTCGTGGGATGTCTGCAGCGGGAGGCCTCGTCAAAATGCAGGCTCGGCCTCGTCATTTTTTTGACGACCTCGTCGGGGATTTCCGAGTCCACTGTACCCGGGTCTTACGTCTCCCCGATACTGCGCCGCCAGAAACCCCGATAGAAAGACTGCACTCGGGAGCGAAGGCGCGTTCGGGAGCCGCCCCCCTCTCCCCCCCGCCCCTCCCTGGCCGCGGCGAGCTCGGAACTTCATGCAGCCTCGGCCCTGCCCATCTCCCCCTTCGTGCCGTCGCGTCGCCCGCCTCTCACCTCCCCCCCGCGAGCCCCGTGCCGCCCTTTCGGAAACGAACGACGTCTTCAAGCGAGCTCGCTAGCTCGGGCCCCGCCAGGGCGCCTCTTCCACCTGCGGTGCCGTGCCCCTGGCCGCCCGCTCGCGCGTCCTGAGCGCCGCGAGCCGGCAAGGACTCCACGCTCGCCCGCCCGCCATCGGCGGCTGCGCCTGCGCCAGGTCACCCCGGCGCTCCTGCTGGCGGCGGGCCTGCCGGAAACTGGCGGCCGCCGCGCGCGCCCGCCGGCGGCAGAGCCCGCCCGGCGCGCGGCAGCAGAGCCCGCCCCGGGGTGCGCCGTGCGGCACTCTGCCCGGCGGCCGCGGCGCCCCCGCGGCCGACGCATGCCCGACTCTACGTGGTCAGGCCTCCTTCCTCCTTCCTCCCCCACGGCTGCCCTGATCGTTTCCGCTCGTCTTCGCGCCCCACGTCCGGCACCCCCCACCGCTACCGACCCCCGCGCCTGCGGTCTCCCGCGCTGCGCGCTGCCTGGGGGGTGGCGCCTGCCTGGGGAGCCGAGGGCGCAGGGCGGGCCGAGGCGCCGCTCAGCCCGCTCGGCCGCCCTGGCGTCGCCATAGGAGGGAGGAGGGAGGAGGGAGGAGGGAGGAGGGAGGAAGGCCCGGGGCCGCTGCCGCCCCACTGAGAAGCGCCCCTCGCGGCGAAGCTCAGCCCGCAGCGGCGGGCGCCCGCGTGCCGCGGAGGCCGCTCGTGCCCGCCCGAGCGCCGCGACGGGCGCCAATCGCGATACGGTCGGGAACATTTGCACAGCGTGCCGCGGCGGCGGCGGCCCGGCGACACGGGGCCCTGCAAGCGGATAACGTGTCGCTCCGCTCCGAAGGGCGGGGTGATCCGAAACACACGGGACGTTGACGCTGGGGGGCCGGAGCATGATGGATAGCGCGTCGCACAGCAGCGCGGTGGGCCAGCGCTGGCGGAGCGAGACGCTATCCCAAAGTCCCCGATGGCGGAGGTCGCCCGAGGGGCTGCGCCCGGTGGCGGTGCCGCGCCGGCGGTCGGCGCTGCTGCGCCGAGCAGACTGAACCCGAAGAACAGGCCGAGGGCGGTGGTGCCGTGCGGGTGCTGCTGGAGATCGAAGCGAACGCCCCGCGAGCCGTGCGCCACCGCCTCGGCGGCCCCTCCGCGGGGTTAGCCGCAGCCTGCCCCTGCAAGCACACCCTCGCCGCGCGTGTGGCGCGGCGGGCTGCGAACGAAGTCGACGCGGAATATGCCGTTCCGGGCCCTTCTCCTGGCGTGGGCGAAGACAGCTCCTCCACGTGCGCGTGGATGATGTCCCTGTGTGCGGGGCCACGCTCCGTAGGCAGGGCCCACCCGCGCAGGCCTTGTCGCAGTTCCGCGGCGGCCCCTCTCATCCTCGGCGCTCGGTGCTGATGGCGTGGAAGCTTGTCACGCAAGCGGTGCCATGCCACTCCCTGGCAGCGCTCTGCCGCCAGGGATGGCGATCGACTCCAAACTCGCGGGGCCGGCCCGCTGGATCAGGGGGGATAACCTTTGGCGAAAGGGGACAAGGACAAGGGGAGGACAAAGCGAGAGCATCGCGAAGTCCAGAGTGCTGGTCTCGCAAGATGGACGGTGAGATCCACCCTCTCGGGCCCGGGAACAGACGGGCAACCGCCTGGCGCTCTTGCGGGCCATTCCGGAGGGGCGGGCAGAAGTTGCGCCTCGAACCCAAACGCAGATGCGAGGTATCTTCTGGCCGCGGGCAGCGTGAACTGGAAGCCGCAGCCGACCTTCCCCCACATGACGGCCCTTTCCATAAAATCTTGCCAGTGGTTTGCGCCATCAGATGCCCTCGCCATTGGGGTCGAAGGTGAAGCCGACGTACTGCGCGGCGTACACACTTTCCATGGCGCCCCACCAGGGCGCACATGTGGCGATCGTATCCCGGGGCTCATCCACGGCGACCTGGCACAAGGGCACGACGACCGACTTGCCAGAATTAAGCTCGAGGCGGGAGATCATAGCGCATTCGCGGAACAACTTGTCCAGCTGCGAGAGGTCTTGGTGGCCCGCGGGGTCGTGGCGGGGAGGGGCCGATGGAGACGGCGGAGGAGGAAGTCAGCAGCGATGGCGAACAACAGCGGCGAAAGCGGGCATCCCTGCCGGACGCCCGCTGAGCGCGCGAAGCCCTCGAACCTGCGCCCCCGGCCACAATCTGGCAGATGTCGTCGCGGTATAGGGCGGCGATGGACCTGCAGAGGTGCAGAGGGATGCCGACACACTACAACAGCTCCATCATGAACGACTGGCCGATCGATGGGACCTGGGAACGCCGCCTAGACATCGAAGAAGAGGCAGGCCCCGTGTCGCCATCGATAGAATTGGCCAGCAACGAACGTCCTCCGACGAAGCCCCGTTGGATCTTGAAGGCCCAGTGCTGGAATATAGTCTCCAGGCGGAAGCGGGCAATAGTAGCTAAGATACGGGTGTCGAAGCTGACAACATTGATCGGCCATGCCTTGTCCTACTGGAACAAGAGCTCGCCCGCCGCGCCCGCCTCGCCCGCGCGCGCGTCGCGCGCGACGAGAAACGAAACCGGCTTCGACTTTCCAGTTGGGTGACTCGGCTTCACTTCGATCTTGCTTCGCCCACGCGTGCAGCAGGTGCGCAGATGGACGTCGGTTCCTTTTCAGCAGGGGGGTATCACGTGACACACCCTCGAGGATATAATTAAACGTGTGCAGCATGCACACGGACGGAAGGCGGCTCTTTTTCAACGCTGGGCCATCGTCTGAGACCTCTGCATACACTTTGCACACTGAATTTGGCGGAGGCGAGCCCAATGGGAAATCAGAAGGGGCGGGTTTTCTCAGGAGGATCGGAAATCATCCGGCCTTCCGAGAAGCTTTCCCAAACCTTCCCCGAAGACGCCGGAACCTTCTCAGAAGGCCGGGAAGCCCCGCCGCCTTCTAAGAGGGCCCTCCCCATCTGCTTCTCCCCACCTCGCTCGCCGCCGACTTCTTCAGCATCGGGGCCATCGTCTCAGACTTCTGCGCACGCTGTGCACAGAAACGAACCACGGCGGCGCGACTCGTGCATGGATTGAGGGCGGCTCCCTCGCTCGCCGCCGACTTCGTCAGCATCGGGGCCATCGTCTCAGACTTCTGCACACCCTGTGCGCAGAAGCGAACCATGGCGGCACGACTCGTGCACGGATTGAGGGCGGCTCCCTCACTCGCCGCCGACTTCGTCAGCATCGGGGCCATCTTCTCAGACTTGAGCACACCCTGTGCGCAGAAGCGAGCCATGGCGGCACGACTCGTACACGGACTGAGGGCGGCGCCCTCGCTCGCCGCCAACTTCGTCAGCATCGGGGCCATCGTCTCAGACTTCTGCGCGCCTTGTGCGCAGAAACGAACCATGGCGGCGTGGCGAGCCATGGCGGCACGACTCGTGCACGGATTGAGGGCGGCTCCCTCACTCGCCGCCGACTTCGTCAGCATCGGGGCCATCGTCTCAGACTTCTGCACACCCTGTGCACAGCGACGAACCATGGCGGCACGACTCGCGCACGGACTGAGGGCGGTTCCCTCGCTCGCCGCCGGCTTCGTCAGCATCGGGGCCATCGTCTCAGACTTCTGCACACCCTGTGCGCAGAAGCGAGCCATGGCGGCGCGACTCGCACACGGACTGAGGGCGGCTCCCTCGCTCGCCGCCGACTTCGTCAGCATCGGGGCCATCGTCTCAGATTTCTGCGCACCCTGTGCACAGAAACGAACCATGGCGGCACGACTCGCATACGGACTGAGGGCGGCTCCTTCGCTCGCTCGCCGACTTCGTCCGCATCGGGGCCATCGTCTCAGACTTCTGCACACCCTGTGCGCAGAAGCGAGCCGTGGCGGCACGACCCGTGCACGGATTGAGGGCGGCTCCCTCGCTCGCCGCCGACTTCGTCAGCATCGGGGCCATCGTCTCAGACTTCTGCACACCCTGTGCGCAGAAACGAACCATGGCGGCGCGACTCGTACACGGACTGGGCGCGGCTCCCTCGCTCGCCACCGACTTCGTCAGCACCGGGGCCATCGTCTCAGACGTCTGCGCACCCTGTGCGCAGAAGCGAGCCGTGGAGGCACGACTCGTGCGCGGACTGAGGGCGGATCCCTCGCTCGCCGCCGACTTCGTCAGCACCAGGGCCATCGTCTCAGATTTCTGCGCACCCTGTGCGCAGAAGCGAGCCATGGCGCGACTCGCACACGGACTGAGGGCGGCTCCCTCGCCGCCGCCGGCTTCGTCAGCATCGGGGCCATCGTCTCAGACTTCTGCACGCCCTGTGCGCAGAAACGAACCATGTCGGCACCGCTCGTACACGGACTGAGGGCGGCTCCCTCCCTCGCCGCCGACTTCGTCAGCATCGGGGCCATCGTCTCAGACTTCTGCGCGCCCTGTGCGCAGACGCGAGCCATGGCGGCACGACTCGCGCACGGACTGAGGGCGGCTCCCTCGCTCGCCGCCGACTTCGCCAGCGTCGGGGCCATCGTCTCAGACTCCTGCGCACCCTTTGCGCAGAAACGAACCATTGCGGCACGACTCGTACACGGACTGAGGGCGGCTCCCTCGCTCGCCGCCGACTTCGTCAGCATCGGGGCCATCGTCTTAGACTTCTGCGCGCCCTGTGCGCAGAAACAGACCATGGCGGCGCGACTCGTACACGGGCTGAGGGCGGCTCCCTCGCTCGCCGCCGACTTCGTCAGCATCGGGGCCATCGTCTCAGACTTCTGCACACCCTGTGCGCAGAAGCGAGCCATGGCGCGACTCGCACGCCCACTGAGGGCGGCTCCCTCGCTCGCCGCCGACTTCGTCAGCATCGGGGCCCCTGTCTCAGACTTCTGCACACCCTGTGCGCAGAAACGAACCATGGCGGCACGACTCGTACACGGACTGAGGGCGGCTCCCTCGCTCGCCGCCGACTTCGTCCGCATCGGGGCCATCGTCTCAGACTTCTGCGCGCCCTGTGCGCAGAAAGGAACCACGGCGGCGCGACTCGTGCGCGGACTGAGAGCGGCTCCCTCGCTCGCCGCCGACTTCGTCCGCATCGGGGCCATCGTCTCAGACTTCTGCGCGCCCCTGTGCGCAGAAGCGAACCATGGCGCGACTCGCGCGCGGACTGAGGGCGGCTCCCTCGCTCGCCGCCGACTTCGTCAGCATCGGGGCCATCGTCTCAGACTTCTGCACACCCTGTGCACAGAAACGAACCATGGCGGCGCGACTCGTACACGGACTGAGGGCGGCTCCCTCGCTCGCCGCCGACTTCGTCAGCATCGGGGCCATCGTCTCAGACTTCTGCGCGACCTGTGCGCAGAAACGAACCATGGCGGCACCACTCGTACGCGGACTGAGGGCGGCTCTCTCGCTCGCCGCCGACTTCGGCAGCACCGGGGCCATCGTCTCAGACTTCTGCGCAACCCTGCACGCAGAAGCGAGCCATGGCGCGACTCGCGCGCGGACTGAGGGCGGCTCCTTCGCTCGCCGCCGACTTCGTCAGCATCGGGGCCATCGTCTCGAACTTCTGCACACCCTGTGCACAGAAACGAACCGTGGCGGCACGACTCGCACACGGACTGAGGGCGGCTCCCTCGCTCGCCGCCGACTTCGTCAGCATTGGGGCCATCGTCCCAAACTTCTGAGCGCCCTGTGCGCAGAAACGAACCATGGCGGCGCGACTCGTGCGCGGACTGAGGGCGGCTCCCTCGCTCGCCGCCGACTTCGTCAGCATCGGGGCCCCTGTCTCAGACTTCTGCGCGCCCTGTGCGCAGAAACAAGCCATGGCGCGACCCGTGCACGGACTGAGGGCGGCTCCCTCGATCGCCGCCGACTTCGTCGGCGTCGGGGCCATCGTCTTGGACTTCTGCGCACCCTGTGCGCAGAAACGAACCATGGTGGCGCGACTCGTACACGGGCTGAGGGCGGCTCCCTCGCTCGCCGCCGACTTCGTCAGCACCGGGGCCATCGTCTCGGACTGCTGCGCGCCCTGTGCGCAGAAACGAGCCATGGCGGCGCGACTCGTGCACGGACTGAGGGCGGCTCCCCCGCTCGCCGCCGACTTCGTCCGCATCGGGGCCCTCGTCTCAGACTTCTGCGCACCCTGTGGCGCGACTCGAACACGGACTGAGGGCGGCCCCCTCGCTCGCCGCCGACTTCGTCAGCATCGGGGCCATCGTCTCAGACTTCTGCACACGCTGTGCGCAGAAACGAACCATGGTGGCGCGACTCGTACACGGACTGAGGGCGGCTCCCTCGCTCGCCGCCGACTTCGTCAGCATCGGGGCCATCGTCTCAGACTTCTGCACACCCTGTGCGCAGAAACGAACCATGGCGGCACGACTCGTACACGGACTGAGGGCGGCTCCCTCGCTCGCCGCCGACTTCGTCAGCGTCGGGGCCATCGTTTTAGACTTCTGCACACCCTCTGCGCAGAAACGGACCACGGTGGCGCGACTCGTTCTGCAACATGGGGCGGCTCCCTCGCTCGCCGCCGACTTCGTCAGCATCGGGGCCATCGTCTCAGACTTCTGCGCGCCCCGGGCACAGAAGCGAGCCGCGGCGGCACGACTCGTACACGGACTGAGGGCGGCTCCCTCGATCGCCGCCGACTTCGTCAGCATCGGGGCCATCGTCTCAGACTTCTGCGCACCCTGTGCGCAGAAACGAACCATGGCGGCACGACTCGTACACGGACTGAGGGCGGCTCCCTCGCTCGCCACCGACTTCTTCAGCATCGGGGCCATCGTCTCAGACGTCTGCGCACCCTGCGCGCAGAAACAAACCATGGCGCGAGTCGTGCGCGGACTGGAGGCGGCCCCCTCGATCGCCGCCGACTTCGTCAGCATCGGGGCCATCGTCTCAGACAGACTTCTGCACACCCTGCGCGCAGAAAGGAACCATGGCGGCGCGACTCGTGCACGGACTGAGGGCGGCTCCCTCGCTCGCCGCCGGCTTCGTCAGCATCGGGGCCATCGTCTCAGACTTCTGTACGCCCTGTGCGCAGAAGCGAGCCGTGGCGGCACGACTCGCACACGGACTGAGGGCGGCTCCCTCGCTCGCCGCCGACTTCGTCAGCATCGGGGCCATCGTCTCAGACTGCTGCACGCCCTGTGCGCAGAAGCGAACCATGGCGCGACTCGCGCACGGACCGAAGGCGGTCCCCTCGCTCGCCGACGACTTCGTCAGCATCGGGGCCATCGTCTCAGACTTCTGCGCGCCCTGTGCGCAAAAGCGAGCCGTGGCGCGACTCGCTCGCGGACTGAAGGCGGCCCCCTCGCTCGCCGCCGACTTCGTCAGCATCGGGGCCCTCTTCTCAGACTTCTGCACACCCGGTGCGCAGAAGCGAGCCGTGGCGCGACTCGTGCACGGACTGAAGGCGGCCCCCTCGCTCGCCGCCGACTTCGTCAGCATCGGGGCCATCGTCTCAGACTTCTGCGCGACCTGTGCGCAGAAACGAACCATGGCGACGCGACTCGTACGCGGACTGAGGGCGGCTCCCTCGCTCGCCGCCGGCTTCGTCAGCATCGGGGCCATCGTCTCAGACTTCTGCACGCCCTGTGCGCAGAAGCGAACCATGGCGCGACTCGTACACGGACTGAAGGCGGCCCCCTCGCTCGCCGCCGACTTCGTCCGCATCAGACTTCTGCACACCCTGTGCGCAGAAGCGAGCCGTGGCGCGACTCGTACACGGACTGAGGGCGGCTCCCTCGCTCGCCGCCGACTTCGTCAGCATCGGGGCCATCGTCTCAGACTTCTGCGCGACCTGTGCGCAGAAGCGAGCCGTGGCGCGACTCGTACACGGACTGAGGGCGGCTCCCCCGCTCGCTGCCGACTTCGTCCGCATCGGGGCCCCCGTCTCAGACTTCTGCACGCCCCGTGCGCAGAAGCGAGCCGTGGCGCGACTCGCGCACGGACTGAGGGCGGCTCCCCCGCTCGCTGCCGACTTCGTCCGCATCGAGGCCCTCGTCTCAGATTTCTGCACACTCTGTGCGCAGAAGCGAGCCGTGGCACGACTCGTACGCGGACTGAGGGCGGCTCCCTCGCTCGCCGCCGACTTCGTCCGCATCGGGGCCCCCGTCTCCAGACTTCTGCGCACCCTGTGCGCAGAAGCGAGCCATGGCGGCGCGACTCGTACACGGACTGAGGGCGGCTCCCCCGCTCGCCGCCGACTTCGTCCGCATCGGGGCCCGCGTCTCCAGACTTCTGCACACCCTGCGCGCAGAAGCGAACCGTGGCGCGCCTCGTTCTGGGACTGGGGGCGGCTCCCCCGCTCGCCGCCGACTTCGTCCGCATCGGGGCCCGCGTCTCCAGACTTCTGCACACCCTGCGCGCAGAAGCGAGCCGTGGCGCGCCTCGTTCTGGGACTGAGGGCGGCTCGGCAGAAGAGGAAGAGGAGGAAGAGGAGGAGGAGGAGGAGGAGCAGGAGCAGGAGAAGAAGGAGGAGGAGGGGAGGAGGAAGAGGAGGAGGAGGGGAGGAGGAGGAGGAGGAGCTGTTGCTGGACGCCTCCCTGCACTCGCGGCCCCCGCCCCGTCGCGCTCCCCGCAGCTCGGCGGGCGGAGGGCAGCCTCTCTCCCAAACCCTAGGATAAAATCGGGCGTGTCCCCCATACAAGGGGATTCTCGACGAAAAAAAGCATTCTCAACACAAATTTCAACATGGCGGAAAGAAATACTCAACAAAGAGTCCCCCTACTAGTTTTTGTAGCTCTGTTTGAATACTCCTCCTGTAGAGGGACGGGCCCGACTTAACTCTAGGACAGAGTAACATCCATCAGGAGCATGAGACCCTCCGCCGGCCCAAGTGAAGAACCTCCGAGGGTGTCCTCCCCCAGGGTGCACGAGAACATCCAACAGACACGAAGAACATCAGGGCACCCTCCCCGAACCGACCTCGATCTTATACCTCGGGCCGACTGTAAGCAGTGAGGGCTCCAATCCAGGGTTCTCTCTGTGTTGGCGGGCGCGAAAGGATGCGTGCGCGGATGGGGGAGGGGTCTCCGACATGCGTCTCGACGTGCGTGCGTTTGGCACGTGTTTTTGCACCTGCTTCTCGCCGCAAGGGGGCCCTCCAGGGGAGGACCCAACTTCTGGTCGTCGGGTTCTTCGCGCGTAAAAGTACGTGTCAAGCAGTAGCTAGGGCTCCCAACTTCGCGCTTCGCGCTGCGCGAAGCGCGAATAACTTCGCGCCCTCGCGCCGCCCTCCCAAAGGGAGAATAGGAGGACGAGGAGGAGGAGGAGAAGGAACGAGGACCGCGAAGCGCGA